CCGCGGAGTGGCGTGCGGGGGACCCTGCCCCGGCGGGGCCGGCGCGGCGCGGGGAGATGAACGGCTTCAGCACGGAGGAGGACAGCCGCGAAGGGCCCCCTGCCGCCCCCGCCGCCGCCCCGGGCTACGGCCAGAGCTGCTGCCTCATCGAGGACGGCGAGCGCTGCGTCCGGCCCGCGGGCAACGCCTCCTTCAGCAAGAGGGTCCAGAAGAGCATCTCGCAGAAGAAACTCAAGCTGGACATCGACAAGAGCGTGAGTGCGCCGCGGCCGGGCCCCGTCCCCCGGCTTTGGCCGGGACTCCCCGCCCTGGGCCTCGCCGCCCCTTAGCTGCAGAACCCCGGAGTTGGACTCGCGAGCGTGAAGGCCGCTGGAGCGCCGCTCTGCCCGGCGCTCCTGCCCAGACCCGGGGACTGGGGTGGCGTGGGGTGGGGTAGAGGCCGCTTCGAGGACACCCGCCTGCCCGGGAAGATCTGACAGCAGTTGCTAGCTTGTTTTCTTGGTTTAGAGATGAGGGCACCGAGAGGTGGGTTGATTGGGTTGACCCACGAAGAAGCAAGGATTGTGGAGGGGGTGAGGAAGGGACTCGACTCTCGCCCAACTTGGCCCTGCGAGGAGCCCTGTTACTCCTTCAGACCCGGAGAGGTGGCGCTTCCCTCGCCATCTCCCGCAGCCTCAGTTTCTGCAGAGCGTCGCCGAGCTGGCTTCGCAGGCAGCTGTGGGGATGAGTTTTTCTAGGATGTTGCAGAAATAAGGCTAAACCTTATTTCTTGGGAGATGGCTGTCGGCGCCCTTGTGGCTGGAAGGGAAAGAGAACCCATTTCTTAGGGGCGGCATCTTTGGAAATGCGGAGGTGGAGATTTAAATGTGCCCTGTGCTTTGCGCCTAATGATAGGAGACTTTCCTGTGTGGTTGCACTATTTCTTGTTAACAATTCTGAAGATGTGCCTATTGTCAACCAATTAGGAACTTTTTAGTTTGACATTTGTTACTACAAGCTGTAAGTGGCTGCTTCACAATTAGGAACTGGAAATTAATGAAGGAGGGAAATTTAATATTCAGGTAGGTTGGGAGCTTAGAGGGTTAACATCAATTTTCTTTTAGGTCCAAAATGTCTCCACATTTGGGGGGAAATCAGAGACTGCTTGTTACACTGAAAGGAAGCTCAGTTTTCCACTTCTGATTCTCCAGTTGGAACTGAGCCCCAGACACAGGAAAGTGGTGGTGTCTGTGCACACAACACCTAAGAGGCTGGCGAATTTCCTAATGCATAAGCCTTTAGTAAGACTTTGGGGTGGGGGGATTGGTATCAGGAATCGAACTCAGAACTTTGTGCTTCTCAGGTCAGCACTGTGCTGATGAGCTGTATGTGCAGCACCAGTAAGACTTTAAGTAAATAAATCTTGACCTTTCTTCCAGGCCTTTCCCGTCTAGTCTACCCTCAGTTTTATTTGAAGTTAACCATTAAAGTAGATTTGCAGGTCTTGCATTGTAAGTTGCTATCTGTAAAAGGTGGAGAGTGAGTCAGTGGCTTTCTTACTACAAATCTGTCAGTCAGTGAATGCATGCCTCAGGAGCAAACAGGTGGCTAGACACTTCCATGGTCTCTGACCATCCCGTGTTGAAGTGGAACATCTAATGGTGGAACAGTGACGCATTGCTGCACCTGGAAGCAATAGCTGCCTTCAGTGTGGGTTGTTATAGCCTTTACTGGAGCCCCTTATAATATTTCCCAGCCCTTTTAAACCCTTGAGTGCTGGATAATTTTCACCACTGTAACTCAGGCCCAACCACGTCTATGATCAATTTGCACGTACTGTGTGGAAGAACCATAGCCCACGCCTAGCATGGCTTTCCCCCAAGCGTAGCGCTGCTGAAAAGGTAGGGTTTCACTTGCAGCTTATTTCAAGGTGGTGGTATGGAGTCATTATTTCTGAAAGGAATTCTATTTTATTCTCACAGGCTTGGGCAGGAATTCAATTCCAAGTAACTGCTGTGATACAAGAATTTTTAGCTGTTGCTGAAAGGGAAACAGGAAAACAACGTGAAAGCTAGCACTCACCTGCTCCCAAGCCCAGCCCCAGAGGACGCTGAGCTCTGACATTTCAGAAAAGGCAGTATGTAGGGAAAATGGTTACAGAGATGCAGTGACTGTGTATCTTGTTTTTTTTTTTTAAAAAAAAAAAAAAAAAGAAGAAGAAGAAAAAAATTGGGGCCAGGGAGATGGCTCAGTGGAATAAGTGCTTCCCTGGCAGGTGCAAGGGCCTGAGTTCAATCCCTGGTTCCGCAAAAAAAAAAAAAAAAATGTAGCAGAGAACTTTGCTAAATAACTGTGCCAACAAAAATGCAACACGGGTAGTTTTATTTTGCATAGACATTGGTGGTGACCTGTGATTTACTAAGGTTTAACATCCTTGCAATATTCTCCAATTGATATATTCCTGCTTTTTTTATTTTCCTAGAGAAAAGTCAAAATTGAAGATAGTATAGTAGAAAGGGAATAAAAGAATTAAGCTGGGGTACATGTACCCCTCACCACAGTGAATGCAGTCATAGTATACTGTAGCCATATACTAATGAAAAAAAATGAAAGTAAAAAGAGAATACAAAGGAAAATACTTGGATAGGGCCAGGGAGGTAGCTGAGCAGTCTAAAGTGCCTGCTTAGGCAAGTGAGGTTCAGTTTGATCCCCAGCACTACATGTCACGCCAGCCCTGCCCCCAAGGTGGGCTGAGCTAACCACACACACACACACAAAAAAAAAAAACATTGGATAGATAGAGACACATACCTGGGGTCAACAGACCCAGATGACCTTGGGAGACCATTTCTCTGCTCTGGGGGATCTCAGTCAATCCCTCTAGACAATGCAATTGAAGCCAGAGGGGTTGCATTAGGGATTGCTAAAGTCTCCTCCTCTTCTTCCTCTTCTTCCCCCTCCTCCTCCTCTTCCTCCTCCTCTTTCTCTTCTTCGCTCTTCCAATTCCTTCTTTTCCTCCTCCTTCTCCTCCTCCTCTTCTTTTTTTTCCTCTTACTCTTTTTTGGTCTTTTTGAGCCAGGGCTTCACTATGCAGTTCAGGCTGGTCCAGGCTGACCTTGAACTCTCAGTGCTCCTCCTGCTTCAGCCTCAAATGCTGGGATTATAGGCATGCACCACCATGCCCAGCTGAAGTTCTCTTCTAGCCAGCACTCCCATTATTCTACTGTGACGACCTGAAATCTCCCAAACAAAGCTTTTTGGTCTGCTCGTGTCCCACCAGGCTTGTCACTGGCCTGTACTGACACATCTGCATTTCTCCGTGCCTGCCGTCCACAGGATACCATGGCAGTATATGTGAAAGTTGTTGTTACTCAGTAATCTGACCACATGAAAGTGATAATTCATCTGAAAAAGTTTTCATTATTTTCTTCATAAAAAGGCCTGAACTGATCGATGCGATTTCCTGTTCGCTTACTTTTATCTTTAGCATTTAAGGAATAAACTCAGATTCAGAACATTTGCGCCACATCTGTTTCAATATCAGCAACCCCAAGTCATTTACACAGGCGCTCAACTCCCATGAGGGTTTTGGATGGTTCCTCCAGACAACCCCGTTCTTAAGTAAAGACACGTCCCCATTCTAGCTGTTTCTGGCACGTTTATGTACTGATACGCCTCCAGCCTGTAGAAGATGGGCGAGAGTATCACCCTTTTTATGTGGGTCCACTGTGGGAGAATTTCCACTTCTCTGTGGACCGAGTGTGAGGTCGTGCAGGAACTGCACCCGATGCACAGAAGTAGTTGTCCAGAGAGCTACCGTGCTGTCACTTATGTTGTGTCGGATGGGATGCCCGTGCTTTCTTCCTCCCCACCACACTGAAGGTCGGAAACTCTGTAGGCCTCCTGATCACTGTATGTCGCTCCCTGCCTTGAAAGCCCTGTCCTTCTGAGGGGAGTCACGCTGCCCTCAACCGGCATCTCTCCTTCCACCCCCACATGGGGGCCTTCACCCTCCCATCCACTGTGCGTTTGTGGGCGTGGGCCCTATGCCAACCTCCCTCTGGGTCAGGGCCTCTCCCTGAGCACCCTCTTCCTTTGCTAAGGCCCTGTCATCTGGGTCTTCCCCATTCCGCAGACTTGGTCTGTAGTACGCTCTGGCATTTGCCTTTCCTTTGTGTATTTCTTTTCGTTGTTTGTTTCTTTGGCAGTGGTAAAGATTGAACTCAGGGCCCTCACACTGGACTATATCCCCAACCCTTTAATTTTCCTTTTCTTTTTGTTTTTGTTTTTTCTTTTACACAGGGTCTCCCTGTCTCTTAAGTTGCTTGGCCTACTCTCAACTTGCAGGGCTAGGAGCCATGGATATAGCTCAGCAGCACACTGCCTGCCTGGCAAGTTACAAGGGCACAAGTTTGATTCTGGTAGCAGAAAAAATCCAAAAACTTGCAGTGCTCCTGCCTTGGCCTTCCTGACTTGGATGTCGTTGCAGCGGTGGTAGTGGTGATGCTAACGATAAAAGCCAGGGCCTTGTACACACTTAGGAGCCTCTCCCATCTGGCGACCCCCTCAGCTCTGTTCGTGTGTTGCTTGTCTTGAACGCCAATGGCAAGCTTCTGAACACTGCCGTCTAACTCTTGGTTTTCTTTAACTCCCATCAATGCCTTGTTAAGAAACTATGTCCAGGGCCGGGGAGATGGCTCAGTAGAATAAGCGCTTCCCTGGCAAGTGCAAGGGTCTGAGTTCAATCCCCAGTTCCGCAAAAACAGAAAAAAGAAACTTAAGTCCAGGGGCTGGGGAGATGGCTCAGTAGAATGAGCGCTTCCGTGGCAAGCACAAGGGTCTGAGTTCAATCCCCAGTTCAGCAAAGAAAGAAAAAGAAACTAAGTCCCGTAGTTTGACAGCGACCTGTTGCTTTCCACAGAATTGGCAACTCTGACTGTTATTTCTTCCCTCAGGTGAGGCACCTGTACATCTGTGATTTCCACAAAAATTTCATTCAGAGCGTCCGAAATAAAAGGAAGAGGAAGACAAGCGATGATGGCGGGGACTCTCCGGAGCATGACACTGACATTCCTGAGGTAAAGGCCAGAAATTCAGCCGACGAGGAGGGAAGAGTGGTTCTAATCAATCCTCCTGGTCTGGCAGCTTTTGGGGCTGAGAGCAACCTCAGTCCCCTTTGTTTTGCTGTGGTTTATTTGAAAAGTGAATCATAGCATTGTAGTAGCACTGACTGACTGACTCGGGGTGGGAAGTGGGGACACCTGGTCTGGCTGCACTGTCATTGTTTAGACAGGCACAGAGATTCGGGTCGCGTGTGTACTTCAGGGGCCCAGCCTTGTGCCCTTTCTAATAGCCACACTGCTTTCTTCCAAAAGCCACTGGCATGCTTCAGGACAATCGCAATGTCGATTTTTCGAAGCCTTCAAGCTTTGCTTTTTTTCTTTTTTTGATGGAACCAGGGACTGAACTCAGGCCCTGGCACTTGGCAGGCAAGCGCTTATTCTACTGAGCCATCTCCCCAGCCCTAGCCTTCAAGCTTAGAGATTGAGTGTGTGCCAAGGTAGTCTCCCTTCTGTTTTCTGGTGGAAACCATTGCTTCTTACCAGCTCTGATTTTCTGCCATGATCTGTTACCATGACCACCAAAGATTCACTTCAGGATCAGTCCTAAACCAGTCCCCCAGCCCTGGCACTGTTGTCATTTGGTGCCAGATAACTTTGGGGTGAGACTGTCCCCTGCACTGCAGGACATTTAGCGGAGTCCCTGGCCTACACCATCTAGACGCCAGTCACACCACCCCTGTGCTGTGACAATCAGAAAGGCCCCGAGACATTGCCACTGGGGGTCAGAATCATCCCAAATGCAGCACCACACCACCGCACTAGACCATTCGATCTCGGCCTCCCTCCTGGAAGGTTCCTTTCCTCAGGGTACCCTGTGTATTGTGTGAGGCTGCTGGAAAGAATATTGGGCTTTCTTTCTATCTAAATTGTTTCCGCTTAAGACTCAGCAAAAGAAGAACCGTTTCTAGTGTACTGCACTGAATATTTGGTGCATGAATATTTCATAATGCGACTGCCTGTTAGCGCTCAGCGTAAAAATGACTGCGCAGAAGCAGAAAGAGCAAGTGGGCCTTCGTGGGAAGGCGGGGGAACACCTTCGAAATCAAACCTTTCTTTCTGCCCTCCCCGTGTCTCCTTTTCCAACACGAGTTTACAGTGTCCACCTGTCGCCTGTGGCATTATCATTTTGTAAAGATGTATTTGGTTTCTAAATGCCTTTCACCCCAAAAAAGGGGGTATTGAGGGGTGTCTGAAACCACTGAAGGCCCCTGGTCCCTCGTATTGATCACTCGTTTTGTTTTTAAGTGCTGCCCACCTGCCTGAAGCAAGAGCATCTTGTAGAGGCAGGTAAAGGCAGCTCCGCGCTCTGGACCCTCACTGTTTCCTGACTGCGTAGCTTCCCTGTCTTCCTATGTCAGAACAGACCACATGGCCCTTCCTCTCTTGTCCAAGCATCTGCAGAGACCTGGCCTTTTCACCTGGTGGTAGCTTTTGAGCTGTCTCTGGAGGACTGTTAAGAATTCTGATGCCTGAGGCTGGGCCTAGGGAAGAACCTCTCAGACATTACCTTTGTCCCCGCTGTCCTTCATGCCCACCCATGCCTGCTTCAGGCCCATCACCCTCCACAACCCCCCAACCACATCATTCACTTGAGGATCATTGCTGGCACCCCACCCCCGCCAGTCTCCCCTCCCAGTTCTGCCTTCCTGAGCCCACACCTGTCCACCTGAAATGGCTCCTCCTGCTTCCCCAGACAGCACCCCGTGCCGCATGCTCAGCCCTAGCCATCCTCACCCTGACCCTTGTGCTCACAGTCTGCTCCCCTCTGCTTCCCATCCTCCTCTCTCCCCTCACTGCCCCTCCCTAGCTTATGCCTCACTGCTCCCACCAGCAGCATGGGACCAGCCCACCTCCTTGCCAGTCGCTAGTCCTCAGGGGGTGATTTCCAAGACTTTCCCAGCCATCCCCGCCCTCACCCCACCTAGGATCTGCTGGGCACAGGGGTCCTCGCGAGTCCCGGCTAGTCAGGTGAGGACTGACCTATGTCTCCTCCCTAGGTCGACCTGTTCCAGCTGCAGGTGAACACTCTCCGGCGATACAAGCGGCACTACAAGCTGCAGACCAGACCAGGCTTTAACAAGGCCCAGTTAGCAGAGGTAGGTAGACGAAGAGGGGCCCGCTCTGTGCCTCCTGCCTGCAGGGTGAGTCCTCAGAGTGTGATCTCCATAGCTCTGGTGGCGGCTGCCTGGCCTCTAGCAGAATTCAGGCTCTCACAGCTTTAGGCCAGGACAGCATATGGCAGAGGGAGAAAAGTCACCCGAGCTGGGAGCAGGACTCCTGATTCTCAGCCCCGAGTGTTGGCTTTTGTGTCTTCTGTGGGTGATTGCCTATAGCATGGTTCTTTCTGCACATCAGAGTTGTCAGCTCAGTCATCCCCAAAACCTTTGCCAATGTCCTACAGGGGCAGAATTTCTTTATTTCCTTTTCTTCTTCCTTGATTTCTCCCCTGGGTTTGGCAATTGAAGTATATAATCAACGATACCTAAGAAAATTTTTATCTGCCCTAACATCCTGACACAATTTGGAGGGCAGGGTTCTCCCTTGGCATTTGCATGTTTTCTCTCATTGCCTTTGTTTGTTTGTTTGTTTTTGAGATAGACTCTTGCTGTGATGTCAGGCTGGGCCTCGAATCCTGGGTTAAGGCAGCCCTCCTGCCTCAGCCTCCTGAGTAGTGGGCACTACAGACGTGCACCCCCACACTCACTTTCTCATCTTGCTGTTTTTCTGCCTCCTGCAGGAACTTGGGAACAATAAGAAAATGACAGCTCTACCTTCCTGAGATAACCGCTTGTTAGTTTTCTTTTTATCTGTCCCCATCAGCTTCATTCCTTTGGTGATCTCCTCAAAGCCTCGTGGCTTGGAGGGGTGGGGGTCTTCTTCGAGAGGTTTCTCACTGCTATCTTTCTTAAGCCTTTCCTTCACCAATATCCAGATAAAACACGGGGACATATGAGCCTTTCCTCTTTGAAGATAACAGCTGTCTCAGTTACTTTTCTCTCATTGCTGGGACAAAGTACCCAACCTCCAAAATGAAGGCAGGAAAGGTTTATATAGCTCACAGTGAGTGGAGGCTTCAGTCCCTGCTCAGCTGGCTCCAAGGCAGAGCAGCACAGGGCAGAGGGCAGCCTTTCATGGCAGCAGAAAACAGCAAAGAGTGAAAGGAAGGAACAGCAGCTTCAGCTGCTAGCAAGCCTCGCTCCCTTCCTGGTGTTGCATTCAGGCTACCTGCCCCAGGGCTGGGGGCAGCACTCACACCCCTAATGCCAGCATTGGATTGTGAATTAATCATAAACGCTAGAAGCTGCCCCATGACTACATGAGGCTTCAGACACAAACCATACCAGTAGCTTTCACTCCTGGTGCAAGGGCCAAGAGAAGGGGGGGAAGAGGGACTCTGCATTCTCAGGTCTCATTGTGGAAGGTAAAGGAGATGTGGGCATAGTGCACACACCCGTAACTCCAGGCTGAAGGAGGGAATCTTGATTTCAAGCCCAGTCTGGGTGATGTAGCAAGACCCTGTCTCAAAATAAATGTGAAAAGTGCTGGGGAAGGTCAGGCATAGTGGCGCACACCTGTAATCTCAGCACTTAGGAAGCAGAGGCAGGAGCATCCTTGTGAGTTTGAGATTAGCCTGGGTTACAGAGTGAGCTTAGGGCCAGCCTGAGCTGCACAAGCAAGATCTTGTCTCAAGAAGACCAAAAAAAAAAAAAAAGCTGGGGATGTAGTTGAATGCGACGACCCTAAGTTTGATCCCCAGTGCCACCTGTCCACCCAAAAAAAAGAAGGGACTAGGATTATGCAATCAATGATACATTTTCCTTCAAGTCCATTATCTTCCCTCAAGCAGTTACCTGCTCTGTGGAGTTCTTGGTCTTAGTTGCTTCCATCTATTCAACGACTGTTCGTTTGACACCCAGGGTGGGTATCCAGCTGCCGGTGAGGGAGAATGCTCCCAGGGCATGTTGCTGGCAGAGGTGAGAAGAAGGAGGGCACTGTGGGTTCTGCAGCAGCACAGGGAGCTCCACGCTCCTTGTGGATCCCTCCATCCTGCCGGACACACTGTGTCCCCGCGTTGCACGAGTTAGAGTTTGTTACCCTAACGTATGCATGGTCTGAGGGACTTTGGGTCGTTGTTTTGATTTTCCTGTAGACGGTCAGCCGACACTTCAGGAACATACCTGTGAATGAGAAGGAGACCCTGGCCTACTTCATCTACATGGTGAAGAGTAACAAGAGCAGACTGGAGCAGAAGTCGGAGAGCAGCAAGCAGCTCGAGTGAGGGCGGCGCCCTGGAGGAGTGCGGCCTCAGGCCTGGCACACAGGTGACCCCTGCTGCGTGCACGCCCACAAAGACTGTTAATTTTATTGTAAATAAAAAAGTTTGGTGAATACTGTAAATCTTTTTGGTCAGGAGATTATATTCTCATTCAGCATATGTATAGAAAGACATTCTTTTAAGGTAACTACTGGACTGTAAAAACAGGATCATAAAAAGAACTTAAAATTATGTATTGCAGCACTCAGCAAAGCATGACGTCAGCTCTGTGGGATACAGGGTCTGAGCCATCCCTTTGGAGCCCCGGGCTGTCACCTGCATAAGGGTCTGGGAGGGACAGCAAGTGCAGACCCAGATTGGGACTGCCCCCCCTCATAGGCTTTGTCTGTTATTAGCACACCTGCTAGACACTGGTGCCCCTCTGTTGCCCTGCACCTTCACCCCTCCAGCACAGCCCAGTGTTGTGGGCTAACTAAGCTGTCCCAGCTGTACCAGCCCGGCAGTGTCTGCCTCACTCCACTCGTTCCTGAGCCCTCTGCATTCCTGTCATTCGCTGCTGCTCACCTGCTGGGTGTGCAGGCAGCCTCAGGTACCAGCACGCGATTGCAGTGGGACTGCAGGGCAAGTGGTCACATGCGCAAGGCAGCACTGCTGGGGTTCTGGGCACGACGGCCAGCATCCACACAGGAAGGTCTGTCACACGCCGCTCCAGGCTGTTCTTTAGGGTGAGGTCCTGCAGCGTAACTTGAGCAGTGCTCCTAGGCAGTCGGACTTTGACAAATAGAGAGTTAGTGGCTGGGGCTCACGTCTTCAGAGGTATTCATCCCTAGCTCACGGCCACCAGTCCTGCCGAGGCCCGTGCTGTTCGCACCAGGAAAGCCAGCGGTCTGGGGGGCATGGGCCCCCGGGCTCGGCCTCACAGCAGAGCATGAGTTTGAGCAGCAGAGGTCCGTGCTGCCTGGCGCTCAGCTCTATGAAGACCTTGCCTCCCTCCTAGGGAGAAAGATGACTAAAGTCATTCTTAAAGTATTCATCATTTCTGACTTTTTTTTTGTCATTGTTCAATACGTCAGATTCTTCTGTCTAATTCTGAGCCAAAGTACCCTGTGAAAACAAAGCTTTATATCCAGAAGTTCGCTTTTGCAAAGTGCTGTAATCGGTCTGTGGAGGGCAGCAGATGCGGATAGGCGGATGGCAGAAAAAGAAGAGTATTTGGGTTCCGATTTCTATCTTGACGAATGTTATCGTCAGGGGTGTTGCTGTCCTACCCAGTTTCCATGTGAGTTATTTCTTAAGCCTTAAACAATAAAAGGAGCAACGGGCAGCTTGGCCCGAGGAGAGTTCGGTGTCCACAGACACCTTGCCAGGGCGGTGTGGACCACGCAAAGCCACGCCTACTCGGATGGGTGGAAGTCTGAAGGTCTCAGTTCTGTGCAGCACAGCGCCATCTTTTGGGGAATGGGGACAGGGCCACCGCTGTCGCTAAAATGCATTGTGTTCCATTGCAGCAAAGCTTTTATCAGTGTTCAAAATGCATGTCTAGCAGGTTGCAGCCTCTTAAAACACATAATAGTGGGTGTGCGTAGAATATACTCTGGACCAGGCGCAGCCCCGCTTTGGCACTCTGGTTGTGAAAGGCCTCTCAAGGACTCTCGCCATCGCGGGGGTCACTCGGACTCTGGACCTATGTAGAGACTGTCTTCCTATTTAATAGCTGCTGGGTGCTGACGTGGGCATCAAGAAGCTCATTAGGGGCTGGTGTTGGGGACAGGTGGGACCCACCTCCACTCCATGGCAGTGTCTGTGTCGTATGGAGGAAGGAAGCATACCTGTCTAGTATTTAAACTGAAATTGCAGGCATGCAGACTGGGCCAAAGTTGGACAGCCGGTCTTTTCCGGGTTGCACGAGAGCAGTCCATTCCAACCTAACAAGAATGGCATGTGCGCGGCCACTCGGGTGTGTCTGCAACGATGAAGCTGCTCCAGCCAAACCTGGAGAGGGCTCCACTTCAGCCCAGCTCTGTGCACGAGAGTCCCTCGCTGCCTTTTCTCTGATGGGGGCTGTTTCGGGAAAGGGGAGGTTGTGGTTTTCTTTCCAATTCTTTAAAATAGATCAGGAGGGATAAAAGACAAAGCTGTTCCAAGTACTTTCCTCACGCCCAAGAGTCTGTACTTTCATCCAACCACTGCGCCACTTGCCTTAGCCTCCTCTGCAGCTTCTGGTGGCTTTATCCATGGGCAGGAGACTTCTGCCGATGCGCAGCAGCCAGGCCCGCAAAGCCACAGCGCCCCGCTTCAGGGAGCAGTGGGTTTGGGGAACGCAGGACTCATCTTGGCTGCTGCATTTTTATGCCACCTGTGGAGAACTCTTGCGCTTCCCCCACCTGGCTTCGCGGCATTGCCTTCCGGTCTCTCTGGGCAAACTGGAATTGGGACGTCAGAGCTGGCATTGTCATTTCCTTAAAGAGTACGGTTCCTGCCTCCACCCCCGCCTGGTATGGCTCTTTCCTGTGCCCCAAAGGAGGCCACGTGGAAACTACCGTTTGTGTCCTTCTGTCTCGAGATTTTAAAAGTACAATTGGACAGGCTTCTTATGCCAGGGAACAAACTCTTAGGTTGGCAGCAGCTTGTGAAAATGATCAGAGCTGAATCTTGCAAAAGATTAAAAACCAAAGGATTTGAGACTGGTGGTATAAAATGAAGAGGAATTTCCCGCATGTGTTACAGCTGCGGGATGTTCCTGTTGTAGCTAAGGACTCGCTGCTGTCCTCTCGGAAACCGTGTTAGTGATGCTTGCAGATGGAATGTCACAGCTGTCCTTGGCACTTGGGCTGTTATTTTGTAGGGACTTTTCTATCACTGTCCTGCAGGCCAGCTGCCTGGTGCAAAGGACAGGAAGGGAGGACTTTCTACAGGGCTTTGCCTACTGAAATGGGTGTCCCACTGTGAGAGCGGGCAAGGTGCTCCTAGCCATGGCAGCGACCACATCCAAAGACTGGGAAAGGGCCGTGACTCATCCAGTGCAGCCTCCCCATAGGTGCTGACATTGTCCTGCAGCAGTCCCCACCGGGGAGCAGCCTGGGCTCACACATCTCTGAGGACAGAGAACTCACTACCTCTCAGAGAAGCCTGTTCTGTCTCAGTAAACCTCTGGCTCTTCTGCATTCTCTGTAATTTCCATCTTAGTCTCTGCCCCGTGGGGGCCAAGTGGAGAAAGCTTTCATCTTGGCCAGGGATCTGACTCCTGCCACCGTCCCATGGCATTACATTACTATCCGCAGAAAGGAGCTAGGACACAGACATTTTGGTGCCCTGCCTAGCCTGCTCCCTGAGCACTGATCCTGCTGAGCTCTTCATTGGGGAATTTTCAGAGAATCCCATCAGCTAGGTTTATCCTGGCTTGTTCTTACAAAAGCTATTGAAGTATTGGAGGAGGGGCTACTAAGAAATAACTTAAGACAGCTGAGGCCTTAGTTCTGCACTTCCCCCACAAGCACTAATGCTTATAACATGAGTAGGAAAAGCTTCAGCTAGACTTGAAGATAATACTGGTACTTTGCGTGGAGTGTAAAGGTTCTGTGGCTGCTGGAAGCTTTGCCTTCATTCCTGGAAGGACTTCACACTGGGTTTGAACTGAGAAAACAAAGCTTGAGGGAGTGGGGTAGGGCGCTAGGTGTCAGGAGTGCTAGCCCTTCAAGCTGGAAAGTCCTTCAAGGCTGCCAATGTCAGTCTTCCAGTCTTAGCTAATGAGGAAGCAGAGTTCAGCAGGGTCTGTCAGCACTGTGCGGCCTGGCCTGGCCTCCTCTGTGCTTGCTGCCAGCACTGTTCTCTCATTTGCAGGTTCACTCAAGCAGCCTAAGGTAAGTGACCCTCAGATTTCTGAGCCGTTGTGAAAGACAAGTCCTCAGAGCCAACACGGTTCTACTCCTGGACCAAGAACCCAAGGCTGAGTGACATCACTAGGCCAGCTGAGTTTTGCAAAGTGAGCAATAGGGAGGAACAGATCTAGCCTCCAGGTTAAGATCAGGATTCAGGGCCCTCCTGGGAGGCATGGTGGTGTCCTAGAACTTGAATTCTCGTGAAGTGGGCTGGGGCTGTGACCTCTCAGCCCAACTTCTGCCACCCAGGTAGAGTTCTCATGGTGCAGTTTCCAGTCCATCACTGGGCCAGGCAATGAATGGAGCTGAGGGGCAGTGAGCTCAGGATTGTGCCCGGGGTGCGGTGCTTCAGGGGTGCCTTTGTATTCCTTTCACTGTTGCGGTCTGTCTCCCAGTACCCGGGTAGGAAGGGTTGTGTTGGTCTGGTATTTCGGGGTGGATTCCAGCATGGATGGAGAAGGTGGGACCTCGTCCTATGGCAGAAATGTCTGTGATTGGTTGTTTTCTACAGCTTATGTCTCAACACACCCCCTTCAGTTGCTTTCATTTCTCTCTTTTACATCACTGCTCTCTGTTAGGCTCATCAGAGTGTATCTTGGGGTATGGGTTTTGGGGGTTTTCTTGTCCATTTTGTAACTGCCTTATTGAAAAGTAAGTGCCCTTCCATTCCAGGCCTCCTCATATTGTACTTGTTTCCTGCCAAATCTGGAGGGATCCTTTGTATTTTAATTTTGTAACCTATGGCTCTGTACTGTTGAAAGGCTCTCAGCTCTTTGGAGTCTCCTTAGTATGTACGTGACTTTTCATTTGCAATATCACACAGATGGGATGGCCCAACTTTTGCTCTTAATAAATGAACTGAATGAGTAAAAGACACCCTCTGTCGTTCCCTTTGACTTTTACAGGAATTCAGAGGCTTCCACCTCCACACCGGGCCCCTGCTGCATATACCAGTCAGTCTCAGCCAGCACCCACATTGCCCTCCAAGCCCAGCACGCAGTCCTGGAGTTTGCATCGCAGAAGTTGTGTCCGGGTCCTGCTCCTCCTGTCCCCTCACTTACCTGAGTCACCTTCCAGGCCGTGTACTCCCTACCTGAGGCATATAGAGTTCACTGCCTCGACTTCCCATTGCCCATCTAAGACGAGCATGCTAAGAACATGGGGTGGAGGATTGCAGATTGAAAAGTCTGCAGGGGGCAGGCTACAACCCAGAAAACTCAGTCCCCTCAGAGAGCAGCTGCCTCTCAGGCCCTGCCTGAGGTTGTCCTGTGACAGTGCCAGGCCCATGATCAGGTGCTGCAGTTCAATAAGAGGAGCCAGAAATTCAGAAGTTTTATGTAAGCATAAGTGTTAAAAGTCTCAAGGGCCAGCAAGATACCTCAGCAGACTATGCACCTGCTTAGGCAAGTGCAGGGACCAGGGTTCGATCCCTGGTACCACATGCCACATTGTCCCCGCCCCCAGGCACACTGAGCCAGCAACTGAGTCAAGGTGTGGTGGCACATACTTATAATCCCAGTGCTGAGGAAACTGAAACAGGAGGATCACTATGAGTCCGAGCTGAGTAGTGAGATCCTGTACCAAATATGTTTTAAAAAAAAAAAAAAAAAGTCTCAAAAGCCGGGACGTGCCTGGGATTCCTAACTGAACCCTGCCACGAAAAGTTGCCCTGCACCTGTGTGTTGGTTGCAGATGGAGACTGCGCCCTCACTTGCTGGTCACCTGCTGCATAGGAATCTGCTGGCAGAGTCCCCAGGCAAGTCACCTGCACATGGCAGGGTGGGAACCAGGGCTCCTCGGCCACGCTTCCCTAGGGCAGGTCCCTGAGCCCAGTGGGCTCAGCACCTCAAAAGCCTCCTGCGGCTAGGAAGGGAAAGATGACTCTCATGCACAAGCCCCACCAAGGCACGCTCCATCTTCCACCAAACCAGAAGGGAGAGAGATAGTAAGAGTTTCCCTAACATCAAATAAAATTATGCATCCTAGTGCTAGCATTTTAAACTTCACAGGAATTTTTAAAGTGCCGTTCCTCCCCTCACCACCATTATCTTCCTATGCACTCCAGCCCCCTGTACACGTCACGGAGAGGCTCTGCATTTAGCACCTGTGGAGGTGGATGAGTCAGCAGTGTGCCTCCCTCCAGAATCCACAGGACTTGGGATGAACTGTGCCCAGGGGTGCCACTGTCACAGGGATGCTGAACCGATTTCCTGCCCACAGCAAAGGAAGCTCCCTGCTCGCGGCATGGTATAACACAGTTTACCTTCCTGTCTGCCGCCCTTAGTGCTGCCCTCTTCCAAATCCTCACAGAGAGCTGGGCATGGTGGCGCATGCCTGTAATCCCAGCACTTGGGAGGCTGAGGCAGGAGGATGGTGTCAAGTTCGAGACCAGCCTGGGCCACACAGTGAGCTCAAGGCCAGCCTGAACTGCAGAGCTAGACCCTGTCTCAAAAAGACACACAAAAAAAACATTCTCACAGAACTGCACAGAGGTTCTTTGTCCCCAGCTTTTCTCCCATAGCTGGCCCCCTGCTGGGGCCAAAGGACCCCCAGACATCACCTGTAACGGAAGCTTGAACCCACATCTCGATGTACCGTGGGAACAAAGATTCACTAGAAACTACCTTTTCCCTCTCCAAGATCAGGCCTGTGAATATCGACAGACATCAGAGGATTAGCCTTTGTAAAGCTTGGCGTTTGCCCCTCCCTCCCTTCCTCCATCGGCTCCCATCCTACATCCTCAAGGAAAAACTCAGGCTCAGTCCCAGAAACAGGGATTTCTTTTCCCAGGTAAGACATAAACTCCATCAAATAGGAAAACAGCAGTCCAGTCGGGAGTCTCCCCCATCCCAGACCTCAGGGCAGGAGCTCCCTCGGACTGCTGGTTCCCAGCTCTTGCTGGAACCTCCACCGTGAGTGCAACCCCGGGAGATACTCTCCGACAACAGCTGCCGACTGATTTTGACATCCAGGTTCAAGAAGCACTTGAGTGTGACACTCGAAGGCCAGGGGAGGAATGTTCAGACTGCTCAGAAGCAGCTGAGCCTGGAAAGACAGCGGCAGACATAGCTGCACACAATGGGTAAAAGGAGACAGAAAACAACCCACAGCACCTAAAGGCTGCTCAGCATGTAGGAGGATGCTGCAGATACCTGGGCATGAACCCTTTACTAAGCAGGGGTTTTTGTTCTCTGGAGTTGACGAGCCTAATCCGCATCCAGGAGTACCAGCAGCTATCAAGTACAGAGTGCAGGCCAGACAGCGTGCTAATAGCTTTATGTATGTTGATTTGCTTAATCTCACTACAAGCATATAAAGTAGAACTGTTATTAACTCCAGTTTATAGAGGTGGAGTACAGGCTCAGGGAGGCTGAGGGATGTGGGCCCAAGAAACGTGGGCACCATAACCACTTCTGGGATCAGGTCCAAGGCTCATCTGGCCCTCGGGACACTGTTGTCAACCCCATGTCAAAGCACTCAGAGTGTCATGCTTTGAAGCAGGCAGCCACGAGTTACCCTGACCCTGATCAGCGGGATTTGCTAAATTTTAATGAGGGATTCCGAGAAGTCACTAAGACTCTAGTTAGGAAATTTAATAGGTTTTAATGGAGGTTAACAAGGTACATCCAACCTTGCCGCCAGGTTTTAACTCACCGGAGCTGAACGGACATTAACAAGTGCAGGAGGCATACTGGCACCTGCGTGATTTAACGGGGTTAATGAAACTGTCAGAGGTTGGCGAGAGGGACAGCCCCAGAGCATGCCGCCCTTAATGAGCGGTCCGGTTGAGGTCAACACACATTTATTAAGCAGCTGCAGCCTGCCCTGTCCGGCCCCGGGCATCCAGGGGAGCAAGGGAGAAAAGGCCACAGCCAGCATGGCCTGTCCTGCTTCGTGGATTTGGACATGGGTTCCTTTCTCACCCGTGCCTTCTGGCTGTTGCCTAAACTGTTTATAGAGGACATGAATCATTTTCCCGTAACTAAAATGCCAAAGCACTCTCAAGGCATTTACTACTGGTCCTTCTTTTAAGCTCCAGACTCCTAAGCTGGGTAGGAAATAATAGAAGTAAAAGCGATGACGCTAACACAGTCTTCACTTTGGGCAGCCAGCGCGCATTGTAAAAAAGCTGTCACCTACTTCACTCCAAGGGTTTTGGTCAAATGCTCTGAAACAAGATACTCGAGGTCACAGGGCTGGAGGGGCTGCTGAACAAATGCTAACCTGCCTCCCAAATTGGTACCATGGCTTTCAGTAAGCTGGGCCAGGGTTAAAGACTTCGAGAGCCTTCACGGCCCTGTGAGAAGGGAGGAACGTTATTGTCCCTGAATTTAGAGAGCTGAAGTTGCTGGTCCAAGAACACCTGAAAGTGGTATAGAGGAGACCTGAACACAGGTTCCAGAGCCCACCGTGTCATGTTGCCTACTAACTGGGCAAGATAATATATGGTGATAGTGTTGCTGGTACAGTTAGGAACTGCCGGGCTTGCCCGTCACCTCAGCTACCTGGGACGCTGAGGCGGGAAGAACAAGTTGAAGCCTACCCTGGGCTACATAGCAAGGCCCTGTCTCAAAATTTAAAAGAGGCCCAGGGCCATAGCGCAGTGGCAAAGCACCTCAGGGTCTAATTCCTAGTTCTGAAGGGAAAAAAAAGATCAATGAAGAACTGGGAACCACCAAGTAGAGGAATGGCTTAAAAGTCTCACTGGAGGGGCCAGGGAGATGGCTCAGTAGGATAAGCGCTTGACTGGCAAACACAAGGATGTGAGTTCAATCCCTGGTTCTGCCAAAAAAAAAAAAGTCTCACTGGGTATGATGATACCTGGATCCCAGCATGCGCAGGAGGCTGAGGCAGGAGGATTGCTTCAAGTTCAAGGCAATTCTAGGCTACATAGTGGAACCCTGTCTCAGAAAAACAAGCGAACAAAATTAATTAAAATAAAATATATGTCATTGTTATATTTAATGATAGAAACATCAGTTTAGGATTACTATATATGTATGCTATGTGTACATATACATGTAATATGCATGAGTGTGTATATAGTATATAAATATTGTGTGTATATATATACACATACATGTATATATAGGTCTGTAGATGCGAACATGTCATCCATGATCATGGGCAAATTTACAGGCATATTAAAGCTTCTTACTGCTCCATGTATAACCATACTGTACCTGTATTTGTTTTTTCAGTTTTGAGATAGGGTTTCACTATGTAGTCCAGGATGGCCTCAAATTCATGATGATCCTCCTGCCTCAGCCTCCTTAATGCTGGGATTGCAGGCATGCGCCACCACATCCAGCATGTGTATGGCTTACAGTTAAATAGAAAGGAAAAGCCATTCTGGAAATGAAACCAAGAGAGCTGCCTGGCAGAGAGGCTTCTGGGCAGACCCCTGAGGGAGGAAGTAGGTTTGGTGAGATGAGTGGGGTAAGCCCAAGCCAACGTGACAGTAAGTGACACCCAGAAGGCCTCAGACGCAGCAGGAGGAACTTGAGCCTGGCAGTCCCGGAATCTGCTATTACTAAAACCAAGCTAGACATTGAAATATAGTTAAGCTGTGGGACTCTTCAGTGTCCGCCGGCCGGCGACCCAGGGCAGTAGAACTGTCCTGTAGGAGCTGGTGACTCTGAGAAGCTAAGACAGACTTGATATTTGTCCCTTCCGGTAAAACCACGGGCTCTGGGAAGGGTCCAGGCCTACTCCAATGAAGATTAAGTGCCTCTGGGCTCTGAGAAGCCAGCAGGGCTTAGTTAAGCTAAGATGGCTAAGGAGTCCTTGACATGTGCTCACCCAGCCCCTTCTACAGGAGGGTCTGTGACAGAACGGCACAAGGCGACC